CAAAAGCAGACGCAGAAACTCTCGCTGTCTGTGTCTCTCCTCCAATGCGCGAACACTTTGGCCTGTAACTCTGTTCATTTGTTAGCTAATGCTGCGAAAATTGTACCATTCCATACAGAAAATTAAGACATTCAGAATGTATATGAATTTGACGGGCTAAAAATTTCCAGATGTTCCCTATATGATATCCAGCAATGTACCTTGGTGACACGCTACATATTCTTCCGAACGGTTTCATTTTTCGGCGTCGGATTGTTCAGTTTTGTCGGAATTTCCAATTTTATTCAACTTTAAATGTTTGCCTTTTTTGCACTTTTTATGATCTCTTCCTACATTTTCTTATTCGAAAGTCGCAGTCATTCCTTGCAAGCAATTCGATTTCGAATTCCTAAAACTTCGCTACGAGTTTTATATCATTTGGTTTTTGTTCTTAGCTGTTCTTCATTTGTCAAACTCTTTTTTTCAATTCCTGCAGATCAAAAAACAGCAAATTCAATTTATTGAAGATTGATCCATGTCCATCTAGAGAATTCTTCACAAGCAACGTCCTCATAGCTTCCGATGATCCAGAATTTCCTTCGGATATTCTATACATTCATCTTCCGATCATCGTAACCCAATTTTCTGCTCATCTTCTATTCCACGTGCCATGTACCGTATACCATTTATTCATTGTCCCATCGAATCTCTCCTCTGTGGAGACGCAGAGAAGTCAGAGAAAGTTTTTTATTGGAATTGTGATCCAGACTCTAATCCCATTATTCTTTATATTGTCTATGTGTTTTATGGCTTTTTTGAACTTTTAAATCTCTGGATTTAACCAAAAACTTGGGAATATCGTAATGATTTTGTTTTCGCTACATGGAATTTTCGAGAGTTTCTCTATTCTTTTGGTGCATCGACCCTATCGAGAAGCTGTTTGGTCCATATTGACAGGCAGAAAAACTAGAAGTGAGTTTGTTATTAAAATTGATAAATACCGTGAACACTCTATAGAAACGCCCAACATCAATATGTTAACTTTGAAGCAATTTATCTGGATTTCTGTAAAAGATATCAAAAAGGTGCCAACTGAAAAAAATACTGTTGATAATATGATAAACAATTTGTTAGTTGATTACTTTTCAATATCTTTTACAGAAACCAAGATAAAAGGGCTCAAGGTTAAGAGGACGACAGCCGACCACGTAGCGCTGATTTTTAACTTTGAACCTATTTATCTCATTTTCTGTACGAGATACCAGAAATCTGTTAACTGATAAAATGTTTATCATATTATCAAACATATTTTATCAATTGACCACTTTTTCATATCTTTTACAGCAACCGAGATATATTGGCTGGAAGTTATAGACGACATTCTATAAGAGTGGTTACGGTATTTATTGACTTTTCTTTATTTTTCAGGAGACAGTCTACTTCATAGGGTGGCTCCGATTGTTAAGTTGGAAAGGACCAATAAATTCTAAGTATCTGAGAATCGGATGTTTTATTTTTTGAAATTAGAATTTTTGAATTTGGAATTTTTGAATTTCAAATTTTCTGAATTTCTCACATTTGTGACTTTTGCAAAACTATAAAATATTCTGTGACCTCTAAAATTTCTTTTCTGAAGTTTATTAGTTCGAAACTACAAAAACTACAAAATGTTGAATTTTGAAGTTAACAGAAAATGGAAGTTTTTAAGGTACGTTTTTCAAATTTCGAAAAAAACAAATTTTCAAAATTTTAGATTTTCAGATGTGACTGAAATCAAGTTAGCCTCTCAAAAATTTTCGATTTTAGTGATTAGAAAAACTAAAAAAAGTGTGGTCTCTAGCCGGTTCCGGCTCTTATCACCTACAAACACACATTTTTTGTGTGCTCCGACGACTTTAAAATTATCAAAAAATCACTGATAACAACTTCAGCATTCAATTTTTTTCAATTTCGCTGTATTTCTAACAAAATGTCCCTTTACAAACCATCGTCTGGTCTTCTGGAGACCCATGTGACGTGGCATGATGTAGAGGAAGAAATGCAGAAGGCGTTGGGAACTAATGCAGTTTTTGGACCAAATAAGAAGGCAACTAATATTGGAGATTTGAAGGTAAGTAGCGCATTTTTGGTGCCTTGGCGCATATTTGGTGCAACGACGTTTTTAATTTTCCAGGGATTCATGTCCAGAATCGCTTTGATTGATCCAGATTGGCAGGGAACCAGCGAGGACGAGAAATTGCCTGAGAAATTTGCTGTGAAGGTGAATATCTCAATTTTTAAGTTCTCAGAAACTTTTCAACTTCAAAGTTTTCCAGATTTCATCCCAAATTGCTCATGCTAAGCTTGCTAGTGTCCTTGGTTCCGAAGGATTCGATGAGGCGAAATTGGAAATGTTGTCTGCGTTCACTAGAAAATTCCATAATCAAGAAGTCGAGGCATACAGACATTTGATGAAATTCAATCATCCAGATATACCGTATACCAAGGTGAGGACTCATAAAAGTCAAACCGTCTAAATCAGTTGATTCTAATGGTTCTATTTTCATGAATCTAGCTAGCAAATTTACGAATCTATTCGCGCGCGCTAAAGTAGACGCAGACACACTCGCTGTCTGCGTCTCCTTCTCTAAACGGGGACTGTAACTCTGTTAATTTTTAAGCTAGAACTATAATATTTATACCTTTCGAATCAGAAAATTAAGACGGTCAGAATGAATATAAAATTGACAGTATTAAAACGTCTTGCAATTTTTTTTGTGGCGGTTCAACAGAAAGCATTGAAAATTTTCTTCCAAATTTTTTTCTAACATCTGAAAATATTTGCTTATTTATACTCATTCAAACCGTCTAAATCAGTTGATTCTGATGATAGTCTTTTTATGAATCTAGCTGAAAAATGGCCAAAGTTACTGACCAAATTGCGCGCGCAAAAGGAGAAGTAGACACTATCGCTGTCTGCGTCTCCTCTCCAAAAACGTGGACTGTAATTTTCTTCGTTTGTAATATAGCACTGTGAAATGTTTACCATACAATTCGAAAAATTAAGACGGTTAAAAAAAATATAAATTTGACGGTTTTAAATTTTGTAGAACATTTCAAAATCAAAATTTTCTCAAATACTTTTCTTCAGGTCTACGCTCTAAAATCATTCTCCAATGAAACCGATTTAAAAGCATATATCATTTCGGATTTCGTTCCAAACGTTCATTGTATGGGAATGCATCAGTCGATATCAGCAAACGATATCACCCAGTTGATTCGCGGAGTTGCCACATTTTCAGCATTGGCTCAAAGTTTCACAGAAGAAGAACTATCGAAATTCAGTGGACCTGAAATGATGGAATCCGCGTTTGCGCAGTTCTTTGATGATGAGCAAATGGACAAAATGTTCGGAAGTTTGGATGCGATTTTCGGAACGGAACATAAGGACCTTCTAGAGAAAGTTGTTCCAATTTTTCGTTATTATAAAACTCTTATCAAGAATTTTGCTCATATTCAAGAGAATCCAGGGTTCAAGTTGGTCCTGAATCACAATGATTTGTGGCAAGCGAATATGTTGCACAGTCTGAAGAACGATCGAAAAGGTCTGAAATTAGAGGCAATTATCGATTGGCAATGTGTTGGACGAGGAGCTGCTGGATCGGATATGGTGCGGGTTTTAATATGCTGTTTGAATGCTCAGGTTGGTGGAGAAGGAGGGAAAGGAGGAGACATCAAGACATTTGGAAACACAGATACCGTAAAACCTCTAATAGAACGACACCCGGATCGTCCATTTTGAGCCTATATATCTCACTTCTTTTAAAAGATATCAAAAAGTTGTTAACTAGTAAAATGTTTATCAGGATATTAGCAACATTTTACTAGTTAGCCACTTTCTGATATCTTTCACAGAAAATGAGATATATAGGCTCAAAGTGGACGATCCGGGTG